CTCTGCAGAGGTACGTGAATAAGAGGGACCATCCACCTAGCCTGTCGGGTCCCCCTTGAAGACTGAAGGCACAGGGCTAAGTTAGTTCTTGTCTTAAACCTGCAGTCACCCTGGATCCCACCAACAGCAGAACCTCCCAGGACAGACCAACCCTGGAGGAGGGCAATTATCCCAGGGTGAGGCCATATCTTGGATCTTCAATCAAGGATTGTTGTCCCCTCGGGCACTAAAGACTTCTTCAGACCACATTGCAGAACCAGAACTGAGACCATGACCAGCTAGACCACACCTTCATCAGGACTGCAAGTCCCAATTCTTAAAGAAGACTAGGTTGGGGATCACTAGGCCCGTTCCCCATCCTTCCCAATGTGGCCATGCCGATTCAGCCTCCTCTCTCTGCTTTTCCCCATTACTCTTCCTAACCTGCCGGGGCTACTGGAGCCAGAGTTTTGCTCTAAGACTCTAGTTACATTAAGAGCCATTGTTCCTTAAAGCCTATGTGGTATGAAAGCCATGCTCACCTGCATACTACCAGCCATGGAGCACCAAGCCACCTCCAAGTCCAGTGAGAGTAGGATGTGGGTCCATAGCACCTGCCCTGCTCAAGGCCTTTACAGCTGTGATCATGCCCAATGTCCATACCTTCCCCCTTCTAAACTTCTCAATAAAATTAACCACAGGAAGTCCCATGACAGCAAGGAGAACAGCTTAAAAAAATGAAAGCTATGCTATCACTAATTACAGAAATAAATCAGGTTAGACATCGCCCAGCTCCCACAGTCCCGGGTTCTAGAATACATTCCTGTCATTGTTCTCCTTCAGGGGAGGGAAAAAAAAATCATGCCAAATAAAAACACAAATTATCAACTTATAAAATAAACTCACACTTAGGTACATCTCATACATTGGGGGGTCCATGTTCAAGTCACAGACTTTAGGAGAGAAATGCAAGTCAAGACCCTTGGGCTGTAGTTACAGCTCAACCCCACTCAGGATGCAGCCTCTCTGGGACTGTTTCTTCATTTATATAATGGAAATGGGGCTGGAGGGGGGCTCAGTGGTTCAGAGCATTTGTTCTTCTTGCAGAGGACCTGGATTCAGTTCCCAGCATAAATGCAGACAAACCCTCATATACGCAAAATAAAAATAAATAAATCTTTAAAATGGAAACAGCTATCTGCGGCTTATTGTTTTTATGGGGGCAAAAGGAAAAATTGCTAATCACAGGAACATGCCTATAATCCCAACACTTAGGAGGTAAAGGCTAAGGCAGGAGTGTCATGATTTTGAAATCAACCTGTGCTGTACAATAAGACTTAAAAAAAGTGATAAAGTTAAAAGAATTAAAAATACAAAGCTCAAAGCCCATGGAAATTTCACCCAGTTCACAGTCCACGTCCTGAACTCTACCCTCCCTCCCCGCTTCTTACTTAATCTCATCCATGCATCCCATCTTCTCTTCCACGACATGTGAACCTACAGCTACAACCAATAATAATGTCAACTACAGGCTCATCCAGCTATCAGCGAACAAAACCCATCGCATCACGCTTACTTCCAACATAGCGACTGCCTTTCCTTGCATCCCTATGTGGCCGACTCCGCCTATAGTGAGGCTTCGTGCAGAAAAAAGGACACCCATTTCTTCTGAGGTCTGTATGTTCTTCAAAGCCCCAATGTGATAATAACAAACGTGGAAATCAACACAAGCGTCCACAAGACAGAGGTCACCGCCACTAACAAACAGGTCATGCCCTAACATGGCTTCGCCTCCTGGACCTGGCTGGGGTGGCATTAACACTGAACTATAATCATGCCTGAGTCTGGGGTTCTTCTGTGCCACGCCCTCCTACTGGGGCAGAGACTATACAGAGTTCTATGCCCATGCTGGAAATCATGGAGTGCAAGCCCTCAGGGTCTCTGGCTCAAAGCTAGCATTAAATTAGCCAAGTCCAAGTTCAAACAGCTGGAGTGGAACAGAGGGCAGAGGTGGCAACAGAGGCTAGAGTGCTCCAGTGACTGCTGTGCCAGCTGGGGCTGGCCAAAGAGCCCTGGCAGGCAGTTGGTATTCACTAGAACCAGCTCCCCCTTCACAAGACAATGAATCCACTGTTAACCGCCCAGAGACTTGATTAGTATTTGCAAAAAAACAAAGTGGAAAATTCCACCTGTGTGGGTGGAAACTAGACTCAGTATGTCAACATCCCTCACAGCTTTGTTCTCTCCCGGATGGCTACAGCAGAGTTAACAGAGGTTATGGCTCCAAGGGAATTTCCCCACTTGGGAACATGGAGATATTAGAATTAAAAATTTAATTGTCTTATGTCCCTGCTCTACATCCATGCAGTGAAGTTAAACCCTTCAACTTGCTTCCCTGACTCTGGTTTCTTCTGAGTTCCTTGCTGGGTCTGCTAGAGTGACAGAGTTCCATGTCATAGGTGCACGGGGAAACTGAGGTAGAAGAGACCAAGAGCTTTGGTCATGGCCGAGAGATAGCAAGTGAATCTTGGGAGTTTCAGCTGCTGCAGTAGTATCACAGAGCCTGTTAGAAATCCAGGTGACAGACAAAGAAGTCTTCCAGGCTCTGGACCAGACTGTGACCTTCTCCTACATGATGGCAGAATTCCAAAGCAATCTTCCTGGGCGTGAAGAGTTAGGCATGGCCTTGGAGGAAGGCGTGTGCTAATTTATTCTGGAATTTAATGAACACCCACCGAGCCCCTGGGCAGGAAGACATCTTGTGCCAGGTGGCTCTCGTAGACTTGCAGACTGAATCCATGACCGAAGACATGCGGAGAATCTCCCAAGATTGCCTCCTTTGGATTCCAGTCAGCTCTTCCCTATCGTGGTGGCTCACTCACTTAGTTGTTCAGGAAAGGAAACCTCTGAGAAGAACAAGAGCTTGCCATACACCCTGGAGAAGCAGCTAAGCACTCTCAGGGCTAGGAGACATCTAAGCAAGTGGGACCTTCCCAGCAGATCACCTTAGAGGCTGAATGTTCACAAGGCTCATTGGAGGGTAGGGTGGGTACTTGCGGCCTGAGAGGATAGAAATTCCCAAAAGATAGACAGGTGCATCCTCTTGGCCCAGGTGTGACCCCATCTCTGACTGCAGGACCGTTTATATTTCCTTTTTCTGCCCACTCGATGTCCTGACCACAGGCCACAGGTACACACTCCTGGTTCCAGAGTCAGGGTAGTGTCATCCGGAACCCCGTCATCACTGGTGGGGGAAACCGTGTCAGGAGGCTGGCACTCTTGCCTGGGCATTCTCCCATATCCACAACCCTTTCCTACCATCACCTCACCTGCCACCAGATTCTCCTCTGCCTGAGCCCTTTCTCCAAACAAAACTATCCTATACCCACCACAAGCCATTTCCTCACGTTTGGCCCACCTTCTCTTGCCAAGGTCAGGAAAGGCCACTCTGGGGTTCCTGTGTTCACGTGACACCGAGAATTCTTACGCTCGATGAAATGCCTCTTACCCACCTTTACCCCTCAAGGGCCAAGAAATGGCTGACTCACAGACCTGTCCCTGGGCCTGACCTCGCTATCCCTGCTGTCCCAAAGCCCTTGACCTTTGCCCTGAGCTTACTACAGCGGGGTGTGTTCTGCCAGGCCGGCTCCAAGCCTGGCCCGGTGTTGGCACTCAGCTCTCACTGAATGAACACGCTGGCAGTCAGCTGTGACGTGCTCCTCTGAGAGGGTGTGTTCCCCTACTCAGTATGCGGACACACAAGTTTTCCAACACTGAAGACTGACTGCCACCTAAACACCGGTCCTAGCCGGGCGGCGGTGGCGCATGCCTTTAATCCCAACACTCGGGAGGCAGAGGCAGGCGGATCTTTGTGAGTTCGAGGCCAGCCTGGTCTACAGAGTGAGATCCAGGAAAGGTGCAAAGCTACACAGAGAAACCCTGTCTTGAAAAAACAAAACAAAAACAAACAAACAAACAAAAAAAACATCGGTCCGGTTCCGCAGCCCCATAAGACAATGCTCTTGGACTGAAACTGGAAAACATGGCCACCCCCACTTTGCTTCTGCATCAGGGCAGGCACTTCAGCCTTGGCTGTTCCTCTCACTGCACTCCTCTTTAGTCCAAGAGCGTGCATCAGCGGTTCACCTTTGCACCCTGGCAGCCAGCAAGTGTTTACTGTTCAGAAAGGCCACCATGACAGCTAGAAATGTTCCCAGGGACCACTGGGCCCAAGCAGCTCACAAAGGTTGAGGAAGGGCCCCAGGGTGGTTCAGTTCCAGGATGAGGATGGGTGGGGTGAGGCTACACCTCCCTTCTGTGAACCTCCTTGGTCAGGAATCAGAACAAGTCTCTCAGGCTGGGGACTGGGCCTGTTCCATGTGGATCAGAAACAGAACCTTCACCTGAGTCTCACAGGTAAACTGAGTCTATATCCCAGTAGGGCTTCAGCAATCCCAGCTGCTCTCCAGGGACAGCCTCTCAACAGGGACAAGTCAAGACTTCTGCCCTAGGGCTCCCTCCAATTCCACTATCTACAAGTTTGGTAACACCAACAGTCCCTGACCTATGAAGGGCTGAAGCAGCCGAATTCCAGGCTCTGTAGGCCTCGTCTAATCCCAAATAATACTGGAGTAGTCTCCTCTCAAGCGATTTCATCTCCAAAGGATGGTCTCTGGACCACCTTCCCAGAATTAAGGTCTGAGAGGTGGAGAAGCGGGAAAGTTTCATTCACGCAGCAGCCCTGCCAAATGTCAGGACTTCAGCTCTGAACCCACAGTGCTGAGGCGCCAGCTTCGGGACCCCAGGTGAAACCGCCAGACCTCATTCTACAGAAAGACACTTAACCAGAAAGCCTGAGCAGCCGGGGTAGATTCCTATCAATATTACCTTGTAACTGGAAGTTCCTGTCAAAGGCTTCCCCAAAGAAGCCAAGGAGGTTTCGGCTCGAGTTCCTCCCCCTTGTCTTTCTGGGACTCTTTCTGGATAAAGGAGGCTCCAGGTCCTCCCGACCTACTACTCACCAGGGACAGCTCCGCAGCTGGGCAGGGACGATCGGCGGCGGAGAGCAGGAGCCGGGCGCACAGAGAAGACGGTGGCCGTCCGCCCTCGCCCTCTGCGCTTTAACTGGCGGCCTGGAGCGTCGCGTGCTCTCCTCGGGAAGGGCCGGGCTGCTAGGTCGGGCTCGGGGCGCGGGTGCGGTCGCCCCACCTAGCTTGCGGCACACACCTGTGCGCGGGGCTCGACGCGCGCCGCCGCGGCTGCCAGAGTTCCGTACTCCCCGGCCCGAGTCATTCGCACCCCGCCCACCCCCGCGAACCCCGCGGGCGACAAGGCCGCCGCCACTTTACGGTCCTGGGACCCGGCCAGCGCCCGCCCCAGCTAGGGCAGGGCGGCATTGTAGGAGGCGGAGCCCGGAGAAAGCTGCCGCGGGCGGGCACCTGGATAAGAGGACCCTGAACCGCCCGCCCCAGCTCCGCGTGGTGGTGGGCGGTGGCTGGGTCATGTTGCTGGTGTTGCTGAGCCTGGCTGCAGTGTGCGGGAGCACCGTGCCCCGAGAGCCGGTAAGCATCCCCGTCCCTTTTTTCTTGGTTTCCCATCCTTTTACCAGAACCCGGACAGGCATAAGACCCGACAGCTCATGTTTCTAGGAAATTGTCCATGGACCACCCTGTGGAAGGGGCCAGATTTGCACCCCTGAGGTAACCATAATGGTTACCTTGCACTTTCACCATCCCTCTATTCCTAGCCTGGAAGGCGTCTTGCTGGAGACATGAGATTTAGGTCTGTCGTAGATGCCACCCTGGACATTTGGGCTCATCGAGTCTTTTTTTTTTTTGGTTTTTCGAGACAGGGTTTCTCTGTGTAGCTTTGCGCCTTTCCTGGAACTCACTTGGTAGCCCAGGCTGGCCTCGAACTCACAAAGATCCGCCTGCCTCTGCCTCCCGAGTGCTGGGATTAAAGGCGTGCGCCACCAACGCCCGGCTCATCGAGTCTTAGTATTCTCCGTAATAAAATGGTGGACTCCCACAGGTGCCATGCCTCACCCCCTGGTTCATGGTGACTAGCCAGTTTCGCTCACATCTGTGTTGACCCACCTCCTGGGTCATCAGAACACACTGTGCCTGTCTGCTTGCTTGCTTTTCCTTGATTGCTGGGAAAGCCAAAGCTAGTATACGGTGTCCTGAAGCCATCAGCCACTGTCCTTGCCCTCTCTATACAACAGAAAACGGTCCTGGGGCATTTGCTGTGAGGACAACCGAATGGGCTTTGTGAATGGTCGAGCTGTTGCTTGGCTTTTCCCTATGTCTCCTCTCATTATGGTCAACTAGATCTTAGTTCCTAGTGGATGGCTCATTTGTTTAAAAAGAATGCCATAAAGCAAAGGACCGTGGATGACTTCACCCAAACCAAATTTGCCCCACCAAAACCTTTGTTTTCTGCTGTCACAAGATCTTTGGAAATGAAGAAGCTGGGATCCTCGAGTCCTTTGGGTCTGTCACATTGGATCTTACCACTGACGATCGCTAACAACTGAAATAGACATTTGAGGCTTTACTATTTCACTATACTATTCCCGAACCATACTATTCATTATTTTCTTTGTGTAAACTCCAGAGGGTTTATTGAGTACTGGCCTTTCTTAGACATTGATGAGTCTTACTTTTTGAAAGCTGTTTTAGAACGATGTGATGAAATCACAATTGCCCCCGGTTTTCTAAGTAGCTCAGCTGAGTCTAAGATCAAAAAAGAAGTATGAGATGAGCCTGGGGAAGGTACGGTGGGCTTCTTCACTGCTATCCGCTTTCTTCTCTTTGCACAGCCAAAGGTTCACTTGGAGAAATCAATAAATATCACAGTCCTGAAAACCAGCAGTTAAACATTAGATAGTTAAAGTACCTCACAATGGCCATCAGTAATCTGAGGCAGGGTTGTGTGGTTGTGAGGAAGGGTTGTGTGTGTGCACATGAGTGTGAATGCCTGTGAACATGTCCTCAGAAACCAGAGGTGTTGAGTTCTAGAGCAGGAGTTATAGGCAGATGTGAGTTGTCTGATGTGGGAGCTGGGACCTGAACACTGGTCCTCTGCAAGAACAGTGTGCTGTGTTAACTCTTGAGCCATCTCTCCAGCTCCCAGCTCATCTTTTCATTGAAAACTTGTCACTTGTGCATACATCTAAGGAAAAAGATGGTGTTTGGCCTTATTTGGTAAAAAGAGCATTGTGGTTTGCCGGCTTCAACATGACATTTGGTTTCTCTCTTTCCCGCAGACTATTCAATGTGGCCCTGAGACTGGTAGGTGCATTAGAGAATGGATATTTGGAAGCACAGCTGGACATTAAGAAGGTCTGAATCAGGCAGCGGGTCATGGTAGACCGGGCACGTGGTGATGCATTGCCTTGTTAGCTAATGCCAGTGAGGTTTTCAAGGCAGAATTTGGGGAGTAAGGGTGTGTTTGAGATGGGCTGGGCTCCCAGTGAATTAGCGCACAGGTAGAGTAGAACTCACCATGCTGAGTGGGAAGCAGTGTCTGCCACTCCAGAGAGGGACATCAGTAGTGGTGGCAGGGGCTACGCCATTTATTGTTGGGAATGGAAGCAGATGTTTTACACATAGGTACCCGACATGGTAGCCTTTGAAGAGTGAATGGGTTTCACCCAAGAAATGTGAATGGTGAGAGTGAGCAGGACGGGGTGGTGGCAGCAAAGGTGAAGAGTTGAGAAAGTGGTTGTGATGTGGGCTAGCTGTCTGAGTCCAGGTCTGAGGCATGGAGAAATCAGGACTGACGTTAGTGAACGTCTCAAACTAAACACACATGCACGCACACCTGGAACATCCCAAGTGCTATGTAGTTTGGGACCATGAAATGGAGAGAATTTATTCAGATGTATAAATCAGCCAGCATCCAGAGGAAGTTTGGCTTTCCTTAGCAGAAGTGAGTTGGGATCAAACAGGACAGATCACTTGGAGGAAATAACTTCTGACTGGGCCTGAAATTGGAGTGTCATAGGAAGTCTTCCTGCCTTTCCCCAGGGCCATCTCCAGAGTGGATGGTCCAACACACACTCACCCCAGGAGACTTGAGGAACCTCCAAGTGGAACTTGTTAAAACAAGGGTTGCACCAGAGGATTTTTCAATTTTGATGAACATAAGCTGGATACTCCGGGCAGATGGTAAGTTTGCATCAGTCAAAGTATCTACTAAACCAGAAATGTGAAGGATATAGGACCCATTAATTCCACTCCTAGGCACGAACCACAGACGTACATAGGCATACAAACCAAAGACACATCCTAGGATGTATACAATAACACCATTCATAACAGCATCCAGATGACCAAGAGCCTAAAAGAACCACAAAGTGGAAACTTTGCAACTCAACAAGGAGAATTCTCTCTGTGTATGTAACAACATGGATGTCACAAATACAAGCTGCCAGACTCCAAAGAGCTATACAGTTGTGTCAGTGATTATGCCTACAGTAACACATGGAAGAACAAAACTGAGCTAGAGCTTCAAAGGCAGGATAGGGCTTTGGGGGCTACTCTGGCTCAGAAGTGATTGAAAGGAAGGAAGCCCAGGAAGCATCTGGGAGTGGGCAGTTCTTGGCCTCTACTGGTTGTAAAGCTGTGCCAGGCCACTGGTGAACAGTGTCATTCTGCAGTCAGACTTCACTGAAGAGATGGCTCCCCTAGTTTAGGAATAGCTCTGGCTTGGGCTAATTTCCCACTCCCCAAATGGCATCATGGAAGTCCTGGCATTTCCTCCAGATTATGCAGAAAGCAACATGTAAGTTCCTTAGACCCTAATGCCTCTGCTTGTGGTTTCCATTTGCCCACGTTAAACTTGGTTAAGTCAAGAGTCCATTTACCCAGCACCTGGGCGACTTTAACAGGGAGATTGTGGCAAGTTTGAGACCAGCCTGGGGCATATACTCGGTTCCAGGACAGTGGGCTCTACAGGGTGAGACCTTGTCTCAAAAAACTTACGGTGATGGTAAGAAGAGCCAGGAGAAGGATCCATTTACCTGGGGGAAATGAGTCAATGACAGACTTCATCAGTACATTTTTCAGAGTAGTGAGAAAGGCAGCCACAAGCAATGTGAAGGGATGCCTCAAAGGGAGTTCGCTCTGTGTGAGGGACCAGGGCAGGACCCCAAAAGACTCCTGTGAGATGCTATAATAGGCTTTGGCCCCACACCAAGCAGGTCTTTGGTCAATGTTGTTAAACACTTTAAAGGGATCTTGGAAAGGTAGGGATAGAGACAGAGAAACAGACCCATGACAAAGAATGGTCTGCATGGGCATAGGGCAGTCAAAATAGGCACAATCTGGTACTGATGTTTGGGCAGTTTTATTTAGGGAAAAAAAAAAAGCCAGTCAAAGCTAAAACCTGAAGCATCTTCTAAACTAGAAATATGCAGTGTATAGGACCTATTAATTCCATTCTTAGACATACCCAACGGAAGTACCCATATGAATGCACTGAAAGACCCCCAAGCAATCTGTCACTCTCAAGAGACCTAGAATGGGGCCGATGGCATCACTAACCACAGGCACTTTATACAACTCAGGCCAACCTAGGAGTAGAGCTCCTGGGCTTTGGAATTTGGGTTTGCATCTGCTGCTGCTGAGCTGTGAAAGCTCAGGCGGAGTACCCCTCAAGACTCCCAAAGCCTCATTCACCCCATCTGCACATTGGATGCCACGGTACACGGCAGCTGAGATGAAGCATTTAAAGGATAGAGTACTGCCTGAGCCACATAAGTGCTAATAAAACACCTTCCCACTTCCCTGTCTCTGCAGCCAGCATCCGCTTGTTGAAGGCCACCAAGATCTGTGTGACTGGCATAAGCAACATGCAGTCATACAGCTGTGTGAGGTGTGATTACACAGAGACCTTCCAAAGTCAGACCAGACCTTCCGGCGGCAAAGTAAGCGCTTGCAGGCCCATGGCTGTCCTTGACAGATGGGCCCTTTGCTTGAGAATCATGAATAGCGGGCCTCAGAAAAGCCTGTGATGCAGAGCAAGATGCCTGGCGGGTTTAAACGCCACTAGTCTGCCAGGGCCTGGGGATGTCAGCATCTTTGAGACTCATTGTCCAACAAAGTGAGGGGAGCCAACTTGAATTATATCCTGGCTCTGAAATGCCACTCCTCTCCGATTCTGAGTTATATCAGCAAACTGGGCTGGGCCCTTCCCTACATAGACACTGACCAGAGACCTGTCTCAGCCGGAACATGGAGATTAATGGCAAGTGAAAAGGGGGCTGAATTTAGTCCATAGGATACACAGGGTAGAAAGAACAAATCCTCCAAGTTGTCCTGACCTACACACACACTGTGGCATGATCCCCCACAAGTGCTCCCACACACATACACACACAAGCACATATACACACACACACACATACACACACACACACACACACACACACACACACACACACACACACACACACTGTGGCATGATCCCCCACAAGTGCTCACACACACATACACAAGCACACATACACATACACACACACAGTGGCATGATCCCTCACGAGTGTATACACACACACACACACTGTGGCATGATCCACCACTAGTGTATACACACACTTACACACACACACACACACACACACACTGTGGCATGATCCCCCACTAGTGTATATACACACACTTACACACACACTCACACACACACTGTGGCATGATCCACCACTAGTGTATACACACACTCTCACACACACACACACACACTGTGGCATGATCCCCCACTAGTGTACACACACACACACACACACACACACACACACACACACACACTACATAAATGTGAAACATTCACAAGTGAAAACAGCCGCCCAGAGGCCCTGCTCTTGCACTTGCTTTGCAGTGGACCTTCTCCTACGAAGGCTTTGCCGTGGAGCCCAGCACACTCTACTTCATCGGGGCTCACAACATCCCCAATGCTAATATGAACGAAGACAGCCCTTCCTTGTCCGTGAACTTCACCTCTCCAGGTAAGCTGCCCCACCTCTTTGCCTATTCCGTCCGGCTCACTATCTCACCTGTGGTGTGGCATGTGGTTTGGTGCAGAGTCTTGGGAAGCCTCCACTCAGGGTGGAGAGGGTTAAGTCAGGTAAGTGTGGGGAAGGCATGTTCCTGGGCACCAGGCAGGATGCAGGATTCATCATCTCTTCAAGCACTTGCCCTGGGCCGTACACACGGCAATGGTGATGCTCTGACTCTGCTTCTCAAGCCATCCAGGGTAACTTTGGTGCCACACCATTTACTCCATGGTACTTTCCAGCTGATGACACCAGAGCTCACTGGGATTTTTTTAAAAGTGAGTTTTATTTGGGGATGGTTTTTGAAAAGCTGTAAAAGTAGACAAAATTCCATGTAGCTCTCAGTTCCTCTGGTCGTCAGCATCCTGTTTTCAGGATACACTTATGAAAACTAGGAAGATAACATCAGCATATTTCTGTCAGCCAAACACCAGGCTTTGGGGATTTCGGCTGCTTATCCATTACATTTTCTTCCTGTTCCAGGGGCATTTAGCCCCGTATGCCACCACCTCAGCCTCCTCTGACCATAAGTTTTCATGACCTCACCAAACATCATATAGATCGTCTCCGATTTGAGTTTGCCTGGTGTTTGTTTCTTATGGAGGCCGGGGATCTAAGATTTGGGTATGAATCCCTCAGGAGGCATTGGGCCTTCCTCACTATGTCCTTTCTGGATGTAGTATGTGACATTGTTGGTGAGGATCATGCCTACTAGGCATCTGGGTACCCACTACCCAGAGCCTCGTGTCTAGAAGAGGCAGAAACTACATGTATTATTAGCTCCCACTCTTTGGTTTCCAAGTCACTTGTTGGTGACCGATTTGTGAGACTACTTACAGCTTCCACCGGTGGATGAATTTCTGTTTAACTGTAAAATGATAGTGTCCTGTTTGGATCTGCCATCTCTCTTGTATCTGAAGAGAGTGTATGTGGGGTGTGTGTGTGTGTGTGTGTGTGTGTGTGTGTGTGTGTGTGTGTGTGTGTGCTGGGCAAGGGGGTATAATAGAGATGCCTTTTACTCAAATGGAACAACTTTCATTCAAATTCCCAGGCTGCCTGGACCATGTAATGAAATATAAAAAGCAGTGCATTGAGGCGGGTAAGTAGATGTAGTGTTTTGTTCTTGTTATTTGGAGATACTCCTAACTGGGACCCACGAAGCTCCATCCAGCCTCAGACAGATAAAGAACTGAGATGTAGAGATGGAGGTTCTCTGTCCAAGCCACTCAGGGAAGGAGCTGTTTTGGGCTAAGCAGCTGTCCAGACTGGGACAGACTCTTCGCTGTACACAGCACAGCAACAGCGACAGGACACCACCCCTGTCCCTTGCCCAACTTTATCCCAAGTTCCACTTGACAGCAGTGCCCATGGAAAGCTGTTTTGTGATTGGAGGAGAGTCCCACTAGCCTTTACACCTGCTTATTACAACTGACCTGTGGTCAGTGGGGGCTCCGGGTACCTTGTTTGGATTAACAAAACAGGGTCCATGTTTGTCCAAGTAGGGCCCTGGAGGCCTCTTGAAAGCCTCCCTCCTCTATGGTCTGGACTCTTGGAAGCCCCTGAATTGTGAGGGGGCTGCTTTAGGATGGTCAGTCCCCCTCCCAACTTGGAAGGGTGAGTACAAATTTCCAAGCAGCAGGGTCTTGTGATGCTACTGAGGTCAGTGACATTGGCATTGCGGGGGTGGGGGTGCGGTGACCGTTCCTCCCACCAAGAGACCACGCTAAAAGAATTTTGAGACTCTAAGGGTGTGAGGTCCAGGACATAGGATGAGTCCTCCGATTCACTCCTAGAACCAGCTCCCAGCCAGGGGCTGAACCTGTCCCATCAGCAGGGGGGCTAACCTGTGCTATCATATATACATGTTCCTGGAAATTATTTGCAAGTCACATGAGTGAGGCAACAGACTTTCTGATCGTTGATCTGCCCGGGGGGGGGGGGGGGATTCCTATAAGCTGTGTGATACTTCCTTCCTTCCTTCCTATTCAGTACAGCTGGCAGCCTGTCTTTGTGCTTCTCAGTTCCGAGCCTCAGTTCACTGACTCCATAGTTTAGAGCATACCTAAACTGAGGCCCCTCCTCCCACCTGAGAAAGGAGAAAACAGCGGCCCTTGCTCTCTTACCTCAAAATGTAGGGTGAGCATTGCATTGTATCATATAGACTGTGATCTGTACCTACCACTCCCAGCTCAAGGAAGCCATTTCTAGCAAAGCAATGGTATTTGGCGGGTGGGGTATGTATGTGTGTGTGTGTCCCTAAACTTTCTTGGACATCAGGTACTTTGTGATCCCAGGAACAGTGTTGGAAGATATACTATAGTTGAGTCCCTGTCTCTCAGCTGTGTGCCTAAGGAAAGCCCCCTTGGGGACTCAGATAAGGGAGGGGTTATCGGGTCACCCACGTGGTTCCCTCTCAACTTGTAGGAAGCCTGTGGGACCCAAACATCACTGCTTGTAAGAAGAACGAGACGATGGTTGAAGTGAATTTTACAACCAGTTCCCTTGGAAATACATACAACGTTTTGATTCTACACGACATGAGCATGCCGTTGGGGTTTTCTCAAGTGCTGGAGGTACTTTCCCCTCCCCCCCCCCCTTATTACCACCCCACTCCCAACCTCTGGCTTCAAGAATCTTGACGTACAGACACTTCAGAATGCCTCAAATAGGTTTTCTTTCCAGAGAGCCTAGCGCTATCTGTTGGCCAAGCATGCTGGGCTGCTTTGATTGGTGTAGCAGAAAGAAGCCTCTGTAGGCATTCTGGAGACAAATCTAAAACCAACTAAAGACAGAAGTTCTAGGCTTCTGAAGGGAGCCCTTATTCGCATGGTCTGAAGCCTCAGAGGTCAGTTAGGAGCAGTGGCTGCGGCGTCACTGGCAGGCTGTGCACTCACTCGGGACTTTCAGCGCCTGACTGTGTTTCACTTATCTGCACCAGAATAAACTGACGCGGACGTCTGTAGCCATCCTGGTGGAAGGCAGCGAGAGTGAAGGTGCTGTGGTGCAGGTGAGGCTGGGGGAGGGGAGGGCCCCTGGAGAACCGTTTCCCCCACCGTGGGTGCTTTCTGTATGTGCACGTGTTCGTGGGAAGCCGGGGACTGGACCCAGGACTTCTTGAATGCTGGGTACGTGTTCAACAACTGACACATACTACCCTCTGAATGCATTTTAAGGATGGCAGGTCTCTCCCCAGTGGTCTCCATCAAGCCGTGTTGCCGGGGACTCCTCATTAGTCTATAGCGGTGAGATAAAACAGCTGACTATAGTTGGGGTGCCTTTTGTTTGGATTAGCAGCTGTTGACTTTCCAAAGTGCTTTTATTGCTATTTTATACTAAAGATCTTCAGAGTAAGTCTGAGATCGGACAGTCATTTTATTTCCCCAAGTCCTCAGTTTTAATTGAAAAGTGAAGCTGCAGAAGTCTGAAGCTGGAAGGCTGGAGTCCAGGTCAGTGTGTGAACTTAGGACAGTAACTGTTCATCTTCTGGGAGCCTCAGTTGGCCCGGTGGAAAGAGGAAGTTGGAAGAGTAGGTACTGTCAGGTCCCTGTAGTTTACGACACGGAGGGTCACAGTGCAGCGCAACCACACCCAAGAGCCGTTCTCCACTCCCTGGAACGTGAGGTGCTCAGGATGGCCCGGAAAGCAGACCCTGGCACACTGCAACTGCGCCTTTCCGGAAGTCATGGACTTTCCTAGTGCCAGGGAACTCACCTACTGTTGTCCTGGGGATAGATTTGTACGTTGATTAGGATGTAGCCGCCCTTTTAGATAAGGAAAACACTATGTCAGTAACAAGCCCAAAGGTCAAGGGCATTGCAGGTATTTGGGTCTGGAGTCACCAGACTGGGTTTGTGTGCTACAGTGTAAACAAGGGGAAAATGTTGATGACCATGCCAAGAGGTGAAAGCGTTAAAAAAAAAAAGTTTGTGTTGGAAGTGTGAACACTGCCGTGTGCTTCCCCTTTCCTCAGCTGACTCCGTATTTCCACACCTGTGCCCCTGACTGCATCCGACGCCAAGGGACAGTCGTGCCTTGTTCAGAGACAAGTCCTCCAGCTAACAGTAAGTACCAGTCATTGCCACAGGCTGAGCAGAGGCTCAGGACACACAGGGCCCCTTGGAGATGTAACAGGTTATACTGTGTCTGTGGGGAGCATTAAGAGGTCCCTGCCTGTGTACCCTGAACTGGTGTGACAGAACAATGTCTGTGCTACCCCAGAGATCTCATAACCAAGTACGAACAAAGGCTTTATTTATGAAGACACTATCTTTTCAAAAGCAGGATGTACAGAAGGGGTAAAAAGAGTGCAAAATGGTTGTTTAAAGTGCCACAGGGCTGTGGAAAGTTACTGAGAATAAAGGACTGTGTGAGTCCATGAGGAAGTGTGCGTTTCAAGGTATTCCCACTCTCTCTGAATCTTATTTGGTTAACAAATCAGGAATACTGGCACCCAAAGACGCCTCTCTGGTGCCTGAGAGTATGTTCTGGAAAATGTCTCTGGATTTAGAGATGCGTCAGTTTTTTGCTAACAATGGACAAATAAGACGTTCTGAAACTAGCCCATGGGTGGGGCCAAAAGATGAAAACAGCCAGACAGGCTTTGGATAGCTTGACTTCTATGTGGGCGCACTGCTGTGGGTGCATCATGTATGTAAGTTCATCCTGAGGAACAAAGATTCTTCAAACACAAAAAACACCATCAAACTCTGGTTACCTCTGAAAATGCTTATGTGCTTGAGGAATAGAGACCTGAGTTTGGAGAACGTCCCTTAATTCCCTGTTGAGGATCTAGGGAGAGGGCTGGGGAGATCACTCAATGGGGAGAATCACTGGCAACCTGGTGTGATCCCTGGAACCCATGGGGGATGTAGAGAACAACAAATGCCCTCATGATGTACACACACACACACACACACTCTGTGGCACATGTGTGCCTGCATTCACACATATCACAGTAATACTTTTATTTACTGGTTGTGAGCCTAGCCTTTAATGGCCGGGCTATCTCTCCAGCCCACAGTAATAGATTTTTTTTGATAGAGACCTGGATCCTGGGTAAGAACCCTTAGTCAGCACACTCCCTAAAGATCTTCTAGCCCTTGGTTTGAAAAGGTCTAAACTTTCACCAAGGAGAGTAAAAAAAACCTGTTTACAAGTAGAGAAGGAATGTAGCTTTGCGTGCTAAGGGTGACTGAGCTGTTTCCTGCAGAGAGAAGCATGCTGGGAGACTGGCTGCCACTCATCTCGGTGCTGCTGGTAGCTACATGGGTCCTGGCAGTTGGCATCTACCTAACCTGGAGGCAAGGTAAGGGTGGTCGCTCTGAAGATACGCTGAAATCCTCCCTGTCTGAAAGGGAAAGAGAGCTAGAGGTGGTAGCGTAAACCTGCACTCTTAGCCCTTGGGAGGAAGAGGAAGGGGGATCAGTTCAAGGACATCCTCAATTACTGTTCGAGGCCAGCTTGAGCTACGTGAGAACCTATCTCAAAAAACCAAAAAGGACCTCGTAGTGTACCCTGCGAGTTGCTTCTGTATCATGGCAGAAGATTAACTCCATGCTTTAAGCTAAGAAAGCCACAGTAACTTTCATCTCAGGAATTCCTGCATTTACAGGACGCTGTTGGCGCTGTGTTAGTTAGCTCTAGGGTTACAGTAGCTTTGTGCATCGTCTTGTTGCTTAGCATAGTGTGGGGCTTAACTTTACAGCAATGTGGAGAAACTCTACCACCTGCAGGTAGAAAATAGTACAAACCACAGAGCTGACCCAACTCCTGATAGGACATGTAGAGGTCACCTCTCTGCCAAAGTACAGAAGTTTTAACAGCTTGCTTCAAACCCGGTGCCCTCAAGCCTAAACAGCTGCTGTGAGTTTATCTGAATATACAGAGCTTGACTATGAAGTCTGATTTACCAATGGGAGCTTAGAAAGCCATCTTTTAAAATGCTGTTAAGATTTAAGCATCAGTGTTTCAGGTATTTGAAGGAACTATCAGGGCTGTTCTTCCTCTGGCAGGAACAAATCCTGATCTTGGCTGACATTGTCTGGTGGGGCTCATTTATTGGGGATGGTTTAGACTACTGGAAAGGCCTGCTTTTTGCTACTCAGTTAACAAAATTCCTCCCCACAGAAAGGAGCTCCAAGACTTCCTTTCCTACTACCAACATGCTGCTGCCCCTCATTAAGGTCCTGGTGGTTTACCCGTCAGAGATATGCTTCCCTCATACCGTCTGCCGCTTCACCGACTTCCTTCAAAACCACTGCAGAAGTGAGGTCATCCTCGAAAGATGGCAGACAAAGAAAATAGCCGAGATGGGTCCAGTGCAGTGGCTTGCCACCCAGAAGCAAGCGGCAGATAAAGTGGTCTTCCTTCTTTCCAGCGATGCCCACAGTCTCTGTGACAGTGCCTGCCGCCAGAACAAGGATGGGGCCAGGGAGAACTCTCAGGACCTCTTCCCTCTCGCCTTTAACCTTTTCTGTAGCGATTTCAGCACCCAGGCTCATCTGCGCAAATACCTGGTGGTCTACCTTGACGGGGCGGACATCCAGGGCGACTATAAGGCTCTGAGTGCCTGCCCCCAGTATCGGCTCATGAAGGACGCCACGGCTTTCCACACAGAACTGCTCCGAGCTGCACGAAACATGTCAATGAAGAAACGGTCACGAGCTTGCCATGGCGGCTGTTCCCTGTTGTAGTCCACCCAGGAGGAGGGAGACCCTGAAGCCCTCCTACTCTTACCAATTCCAGTGACAAAAAGCTTTGTGTGGACCCTGAAGCTTACTCTACAGGCTGCGTGGAGGGAGTACTGTATCACAAAACTTGCTTTAGAAATGGAGTTTGCAGAGTCAGAACTTGAGGCTAGTCACTAGCAGGCTTTATGCCTATAATACAGTTAGAGACATTAATGAATGGAAGGTAAATTCACAAAGCTCAATCACAATCACATTTCTACCCAAAGCCCAATAATGGTTCTCACTGCAAAGTAAACATTCTGGCAATGAAATAACAAGGCATTTCCCAGTCAGATGTCCCGTCTTGCACTGCTCATGCTCTGTGCTGTACGCAGGACTGTTTAGCCCTGTAACATTTTAATGTGTTAATGAATAATCCATTTGAGTCACTAATCCGGTAGTTCCCTAAGAGGAAAAGCCTATTACACACACAAGCTGGACACATTTCGCCTGACCAATGACCCAGTGTATGTGTTTTGTATGACCCACTGTACTGTGTGCTATTCTGTATAGCACCTTCCCTTGCCAAACTTCTGGACAGGCAACTTCTTATTTTTATTGTACAAGTGCTAGGAACTGAACCTAGGGTATTGTACGACTAGACAAATGCTCTGCCCCTCAAATGCATCCCAGCCCCTCACAGGGGACTTCCCAGTAAATATAAAAACTTAATCAGCCAGAAATGGTAGCACATACCTTTAATCCCAGCACTCAGGTGGCAGAGGCAGGAGGACTCCTGAGTTCAAGGCCAGCCAGAGATACATAGCAAGACTGTCCCAAACAGTCTTTTGCCCAATTACCCATCCACTGTTCTAGTTCCCAGAGTTCATGGTTATTACGTTTCCTGTTCAAGTCAAAACTAATTCACTGAAATTAGCTCTCTTCATATAATATATCTTTTTATAGTCGATTACTTTAAAAAACAACCAAGGGCTGGAGAGATGGCTCAGAGGTTTAGAGCACTGACTGCTCTTCCAGAGGTCCTGGGTTCAGTTCCCAGCACCCACATGGCAGTTTACAGATTAAATTCACATCTTAACTCCAGTTCCAGAAGGATCTGATACTGCTTTCTGGCTTCTAAAGGCACTCTATATACATTTAAAAAAATTATTGCACACACACATCAGTGTTTTGCTTGCATTATGTCTGTGTACCATGTGCATGCCTGGTACCTGAGGTCAGAAGATGGGGGTGGATGCCCTGGAACTGCAGTTATGGATAGGAGTGAACCACCGTGTGGATGCTGGGAATTAAATCAGCATCTTCTGCAAGAACAAATGCTCTTCCCTACTGAGCTCTCTCTCTACACCCCCTAATGTAAATAAATCTTATTTTAAAAAAAACACCAAAAAACCAGTACAAGCAGTAATAGTACACAGATCTGTAACATCTTGAGTCTTCTAGCTCTTGACTTTTTTTTTTTAAGGTTTAATTATATATACAATATTTTGCCTGCATGTATGCCTGCATGCCAGAAGAGGGTGCCAGATCCCATTACAGATGGTTGAGAGCCACCATGTGGTTGCTGGGAATTGAACTCAGGACCTCTGGAAGAACAGCCAGTACTCTTAACCTCTGAGCCATCTCTCCAGCCCACAGGCTCTTGACTTCAATGAAGCAGCTTTTTCTTAATGTAAAAACCACAGAAATTATCTACATTAGCATATGTATTTGTCTAGTAAGTCTTTGTACAGCATCATGTTTTGTAATGTGATCCAGTTTCAGGTAGTTGATGTTAAATGTTTGTAACTAGAGGCTGGGCATGGTGGCACATGTCTTTAATCCCAGGGCTCCAAGGCAGAGGCAGAGAAATCTCTGAGTTCGAAGTCAGTCTGGTCTACATAGTCCCAGAACAGCCAGAGCTACATAATTGAGAAACCTTGTTTAAAAACAAAAACAGGTTTGTAATTGATCAGGTATGGTGGCAAATACTTTAAAAAATATATTTTTAATTATATGTAGGTGTGTGTGTCTGCATGTGGGTATGTACATAGAGTATAAGTATCTACTCAGAAGAGGTCAAAGGCATCAAACCTCCTAGAGCTGGCGTTACAGATGGTTGTGAGCTGCCTGACGTGCTGGGAACTGAACTCGGGTCTTCTGGAAGAGCACTGAGTGCTCTTAAACACTGAGCCGTCTCCCAAGCCCCTGTGGTAAACATTTTAAGTAGCAGTGCTCTGGAGGGATGCGGGCAGAGCTGTGAGTTCCAGGATAGAGGGAACGTTTGTAACTGCACATTAGCCGCAAAGGTCTTGTTTTGGGGTGTGGCTTAGTGGCAGAGAATTTGTATATGATGTACAAGACCCTGGGTTCAATCTGCATCAATGTAAAAGGTCACATCATGCACTCTAATATGTCTTATGAATAAATGAAACCCAAAAGACGCATGAAGTGCGAACTCCCTGCATCCAGCTTCGTGAGCGCGACGGCTGAGGCCGCACTAGTGTGGCAAGGCTGTTACTTGGCAAGACAGCTGTTGATGCTTTACAAACACGAAGATGTGGATAGCTTCTGTCACAACCTGGACCAGAAACCACCTTCCTCTGAATCCACATCTACCGCTGTAAGAGATGCTCACGGGAGAATGATTACCGCAGATACGTCATGCTTCTGAAAGCACAGAGCCGATTGTAAACTCTGTTCCAGCAGCCCAGAAACATAAAATCATATTCTGTAAGTTAGGCCAAAAACATAAAAGGACAGATAATTTTCAAACTATATATTTTCAAAGTATATATCCAAATGGTATTACCAGGTCAACCCTTGCTACATCAGAGGACCCCCTCTCGGTTCTAACCACTGAGCTTCACCTGGTCACGCCTATAGTCCCGGCAATTCCTCCATCTTAGACTTCTACATTCCATGCCTATCTCCAGGTCTTATCTGTCCCTACTTTATCAGTCTCTCAATCCTCCCCAAGCCAATTCTGGTGGTAGAGCTGGGAGGAGCAGATATATAACGGCAGGCGTAGGCAATTCTGCTCTACCTGCCCTGCCTTCCCGGGTCTTGGCCCCAGGTTGCCTGCCCTGCCCTTGTCTACACCACGTCTTTTCTTTCCCTTGCTGCAGCTCAGAGGCTTCCTAAGGGCCACACTACCAGCAGTAGGGCTGGCTCTATTAGGTTCAACTTTTCTCCAGAATGTTCACAGATTGAAGTCAGCTGATCACAGTGAACTCCAAAAGCCTTTACGTGGTTCTTCAGGAAAAGGTCAACTAGAGGCTTAAAGATGAAGTTAGTTATGAATTACAGCAGCCACCTGCTTTCCGTGTACAAAGCAGGGTAACAACTCTAAATTAGATTGTTCTGTTGTTGGGTGGTTCTCTGTGGAGCCCTGGCTGTCCGAAACTTGCACTGCAGACCAGGCTGGCTTTGAACTCATGGAGATCGGCTTGCCGCTGCCTCCCGAGTGCTCGGATTAAAGGTGTTCTAAATTATTATTATTATTATTGTCGTTGTTGTTGTTGTTTTTTTTTTTTTTTTTCCCAGACAGGGTTTCTCTGTGTAGCTTTGTGCCTTTCCTGGAACTCGCTTTGTAGACCAGGCTGGCCTTGAACTCAGAGAGATCCGCCTGGCTCTGCCTCCCAAGTGCTGGGATTAAAGGCATGCACCACCACTGCCCGGCCTAAATTATTCTTAAATCCTGTCTGTTTAGCTTTAGGAAGGAAACAAGATTTCCTTTCCAGGTACTGTGTTGTTTCTATCCCTGCACCTACCCTAGAGGAAACAGTAACAAAACTAGCCAGCCCAGCCTTTAAATCCTAATCCCTGCCTCAGGAAACCTAGTTCTGAATGAGTACTTTGTAAATCAAACTTTTTTTTTGGAGGCGAGGATCGAACCCGGGGCCTTGTGCTTGTTAGGCAAGCGCTCTACCACTGAGCTAAATCCCCAACCCCAAAACTTTGTTTTTCTTTAAAAAAAAAAAAAAAAAAAACAGAACACACACACACACACACACACACACACACACACACACACACACACACACACACACGGTGAAACAGAGAGCAACCCCAAACAGACCTCTTTAGATCCTAACTACTGCTAGAGAAAAGGGAAACCACCACAGCTGGTTCCTGCAGTCACACAGCACCCCATGTGGCTGCACCAGGACAGACCGCTGGACAGCAAGTTTTCCCATCAGGGAGGGTTGGGGTGGGGTGGGGTGAGTGTCCCAAAACAGTAGCCTGGGCTTTAGGTCACACAGGGAGATCTAGACCTATTGGAGGTGGCAATGAGTATATTTTGGAGAGGGTTAAGAAAAAAAAGATGGGTGTGGGGTCTGAGTGCCTGTGTGCTTGTGTGCCCATGGTGGGGTGGGGTGGGGTGGCAGTATGAAACCTTGACGAAAGGTTAAGAGAGTAAGTTCATATTTGTTCTTAATTATAATTTCAAATCAGTGTCATACTTTAACATAAAGGTAAATTCATTTAATTCTAGGAAAATTAAGCTTCAAAGTCAATAAATTAAAAGACATCTAGTCTTTCAGTAGTCCTCAATTAGAGACTTGGTTGAGGTCTTCACCACACAAAAGCAGCCCGCTCCCGTAACATCCGGACGCCAAAGCGCTGCCACTCCCGCTGGTAAATCCACAGTTCCTGAGTGGTGTCCAAGCACGCCAGCACTGCCCCTCCTTTCCACGCAATCAGCCGGGGATCCATGTCCTGGGCAAAAGAAAACGCCAGCCATTTCTGCAAAGGCAGCAGGGCACAGGACACCATTCTCTGCAGGAGGGTGGGGGCCCTGCTCAGTCAACAGCAGACAAATCAGGTTTTACATCTGTGTCAAACAACAGAAAATTGGCTGGTGTACCTCAGCTGTGGAGTTCTGCCTAACAGCTACAAGGCTCTGGGTTCAGTTCCAGCAGCACCACCAGTACAGAATACTGAACTAACGGACATACCCATCTCTGCTGCAGCTGACGAGAATTTCTCAGTTTTTGCTACTGAAGATGGCGCTCTCCACAAACAAGCTCTGCAGGCAGCCACACCAGGTACCAGCAGAGGAAGAAAGAAGCCCT